CCCCCCCTCAGCTTACTCCCCTATCTGTGGAGACGTCGTGGTAGCGCGAGCGTTAGCATGGTAGCGTTAGCACGGTAGCGTTAGCATGGTAGCGTTAGCATGGTAGCGTTAGCATGGTAGCGTTAGCATGGTAGCGTTAGCGTGCCGACGTGGGCACACCTCCCGGAAGAAGTGGGTGGATTGCCTGTGTCTCATTTGCATTTAAAGAGACAGGCACTCCAAAGCGAGCGCTCTGAACGGGGCTGTTTTGGCAGGGGGACTGAACTGCTATTGGCCTTCATCCTTATGGGATTTTGACCAAAGGTTGTCACAGACATTACATTAGGACACCAGGGAACTAGCTTAACTTGTTGAAATAGGGTATAATATGTCTCCTTTAATTGCTTTTGTGCCCGCAGTCAAAGCAAACGGGAATATTTCGGGTGCTGAGGTGCAAATAAACCAGACTCCACTTGTAAAGTTTGTGGGGAAAATGACCCCCTGAAGCTCAGAAAAAGTTGGAGCTCAGTTGAAACTTTGCTGATTTACAGCACAATCTTACTGGCGGTTAGAATTCTCTTCAAAACTGCCCTTTTGGTGCCACTCCATAGTAAAGAGCATACTCTGGGGCTGAGCTGTGTTTTTGCTAACAGCCTCTGCTGCTTAGTTTTTTCTTCAGAACAAGAGATAAAAAAATCTGAATGTCTTATTAAAGCCTGGGCTCTCTATTTTTTTTTTCTTTCTTATTGTTAAAATAAGTTTAGAAGCATCAACATCAATCGATGCTCTGGGCTGTGCTTTAAAGCAGGAATAGAGGCTGGTTAGCTTTTCTGGGGGGGGGGGGGAGATCAATACATCATCACCCCATGGAGTCCAGCAGTAGGAAGCATTTCCTTGTTTCTTTGAATACAGTGTGTGATACAGACTAATACAGGCTTTCAAACGGCATGAAATCATGTCCACGTTGACATATTTATGCCCCAAAAATGCATAAAATTTTTCGTTTTTAAAGTGTGGACGGCACAAAATGGCCCGTCCATTTATGTTGGCTAGCTACTAGCCGTGAGCGTTTGCAATAGCCAGTGCTGACCCTGAATCTCTTTGACAAGCCTCAAGAATAAATCTGCAGCACTGAGCAACAGACGTGCGCTTTTCAGGGTCGGAAAACTTGTTCTGAGCACGATCTTCGTTGTTTGGGTTAGTTAAGAGGATTTACTTAAGAGGAAGAAAACACTGTACCCCAAAAATCAGCCAGTTTGGCTTCTGTATCAAAAAGGCCAGCAACATCCAACCAATCAGAGATATCCAGGCATGTGAGCCTCAGCGATAATAAATAAATAAATAAATAAATAAATAGACAAATAAATAAATAAACAATCAAACAAATAATAAACAAATACATAAATAGACAAATAAATAAATACTATAAATAAATAAAAAATAAATAGATAAATAAAAAAATAAAAAACCAACTACCTCTAAACCACAGAGCTTAAGAGGGGCTGAAATGTGTCCCCAAACCCTCTTAAAATGAGTCAGCTACAGAAAAAAACCCTCAGAAAGATAATGGATAATTGAAAAAGCTCCTATTCCAGCCTGATGCAGAGCTCCGTGCTCAACACAGATCTCTCTCTTGTAGCACGTCAGCACAACTAGCGTGTGAACACGTGCACGCCTGTGAGCTGGCACGTATCCGTGCGAACGCGTTTGAATTCCTCGGCAGCCTCTAATTGATTTCACTTTGGGGGGAAACAAAAGTGATGTAAATCCGTATGGAGAGTCAATACTCCAAACGGATGGAGAGGACGCGGGGAGATGCTAATAATCTGCCGCTGCTCACAGCCATTTGCATGCAGAGAGAGATAATAAAACCTGCCCCCTGTTAGGAGAAATAATGTGATACAGCCTCGGTGGTGGCCCTGATGAGATTCGTGTCCATTAGGCGGAGGCTCCATTAGCATAGCTCATTTTTCTGTTTGTTTCACTTCAGAAAGCCGGTTTTCCAGCGTTATGTAACACTTTCAGACTGATAATAAACCCTCAGGAGTGAGTGTTTGGGGCTGCCGTGTGAGAAATGCTGCCGGGGAGACGCACCTATGTTGATGAAGTCGGACCTGTATTGGCAGGTCATGCCGAAACCAAAATCCCTCCAGAAGCCCGTGTCTTTCTTTATCACCTGCAAAGGGAAAGAAGTCTGTCAGAGGGCTTCTGAAAAGACGGAGACGCTCACAAACAAGCTATCTATCTATCTATCTATCTATCTATCTATCTATCTATCTATCTA